ATTTCCTATGATTTTACACAAATATATTTTTTATTTTTAGGTTCAAATTCCCGCTAATGCCGCAACCAACAACAGTGACTTTTTCTTACAGCTGCTTTAATCGGTAAGTGTCTTATTTCTTTAACTTTTATTCTTCAAGTCTTATCTTTCTTATACCTATCTGTATTTTGCTGAATCCACTCGTTGATGTTATCATGTTGTACAAAGGATAATTAAAACTGATTTGACTTATTAAGAAAAAGGGTTTCACAGATTCTTTAAAATGATTTTATTTATTAAGCACTTGATTTTAATAAAATTAATTAACGTACATACATGGAAGATGTCGTGTCCTTACTAATTTGGATAAGAAATGAAAATTTAACAATAACTTTTAATTAATTTAATACTTGCGTAGATACAATAAGTAGTTCAAGTTTACAAATGCAGTCCACAACTCCTGTAGTAGGTAGTATTATAAATTTATGGGCAAAAGTACTTATGAAAAACAATGGTGTAACATTTAGTTTAGTTTAATTGATCACTTATCCTTTTATGTAGACCTTAATCTGTCTAGTATTTGACATTTCATCCTTATTAGGTCGATGCGAATGTATTAATTATTACATATTCGGTTATATAATTTAAAACGCACTTCATGATGCTCTAATTAGAGGTCCCTTTTAATCGTAATTTCAAGACAACGTTGTTTTGACGGATATTAATTAAGTAAATTATAATAAAATATAGAAAAGTTATTAAAGTGTTTAACACATGAAAAACTATTAGGGATTGTACTTATATTTATAAGTGTAACCCTATTCTTTATGGATTTATCCTGGAATAGGGAAGCTAAAGCTCCCATATGATAGATTAAAAAAAAAGTTCTAAAGACGGAATTGTATTATTTCATAATAAACATATAAACCTATAAAGACTGCTAGATTTATGAAATTTTGAAGCTTCTTTTGTATCACATAGTTCGGAATTGTCGATTTTCTTTTCTATAAGTATCCATGGTGGATAATGGTGGAATAAATAGATCCTAGATACATATTCATGATTATTAGTAATTCAAAAATAATATCTATTAGAGAAATTTTAGAGGTTCACTTCGTTTAAAAGATATAGTCACAGTTAGGTCCATGACGCTCGGACCTACATATTTGCAACCTGTTAAAATTTTAAGATTAATACTTTTTCTACAATTTTGTCTCTCAGTTCCTTAGAAAAACCTTTCCGTTTATTCACAGTCTCGCATTAAAGAGTTTTTTACTTCCACATTAAAAGGAACTTACATTTTTACTACATAATTTTCTCACTAAAATTTCTAATTTTATTGCAAAAACCTTTTCTCTCTGTACTTACGAATCTGCTAGACTACAAGTATGAAAAACAAGGTTGGTAAAATATTACTGAAACTTATGGAAAGGAAGTTCAACGTAACTTATACACCTCATGTACGTACTGATTAATTATTATTTACAATGCACACAAAACAGAGAGAGTCATGATAATAACGTATAAAATAACCACGAGGAATCAGCTACTTAGTTCATTCTGAAGGAATAAAACGATACTTTCTTGGATAACACAAGAAATATTACTGGTATGGGTTAATTAGACAACTAGGTACAAAATTTTCTAGATTTTCTTTTGCAGTACATATAAAACACGTATATTTCACATAATTTCTGCAATAATAAGGGTAGCGCATACTTCATATATGTATTATCTCGCGACAGATAATATGAAATAGAATTTCCGGATTGGGTTTCTGTATCTCTTGAGAATTACGATCATAAGAACGCAGTTTGAATTTTGATGCGATTTTCTCGGTTTTATAGTTCGTCTTTAAAATATAGTTAAACGTATCATCAAAGGGCGATCCTTTATTAAATCGAAAGATACGAGATCTATGACAAACATGTTTATCAAAATAAATCAAACTCTAAAAATTTTATATCGTAGTTCTTATCGAACAGATGAACTATTAGTTAAATAATTTTGTCTCCGATACCAATTTTAAAAGAACTTTTAATTATAATGCATATTAATTAAATCACTCTAAGTCTCTACTGGTAAACTCATTGTGAAGTTTTTGATACCCAAAACACCCAAAAACGAATAGAATTGACTCCAAAAAAGAAACAAAAGTGATCAATCTGATACATATGTACACTGACAAATTAATGCAAAATTGTTATTTAATATAAATCCAGAAATATTGATTAACAGCATTTGAAGTCGGCACAATTTTAAACGAAAACTTTTTGATTTTACTTTGTACTTTGATATTTTCGGTTCATTAGTTCGTTTTGTATTTTGTAAATACATTGCATTTGATGTTATTTATGTTGGACAATTTGTTGATAAATATTTCTCAATGCTTCTCAACGAAATTTTTTTAAATTGATGTCCTTGTTTCCTTATTCTGAAGTCAATTTTGTTTTTTTGAGACTTTTGTTTTTCAATTTTGCGTTTATGTAAGGATACTGTTAGTGTTTATCCACACACTAACTCAATTGCGAATTTCGTGCTGTTTGTCTTCAAATCCTTAGGCAATTAGTTGCTAACCAAATTTGATGGGACCACCTTGGAGTATGTCTACTCCTTCAAAACAAATTATCGTCTAAATGGGACAACATGTATTTGCTGCATTTGTGCAAAAAAAATTGATAAAGAAATCAGTAAATTTACGCATACAAAATAAAATTGAAGCGTATAAATATCGAAATAACTGGTTTTATATGAAAAAAGGATTATCAGGAACGATGATGGCTGCTTTTTTAAAATATTTATCGATTTTAACAATTGTATTCCTTGTAAACAATAAGACATAGTTTCGCGCTAGTAAATACGTTTATATAAATTGAAAATGTCCTCCTTTGAATATTAAATTAAGGACAAACAGAAGCAAGAAAATTTATTAAAACTGCTCCGTTATTTCTATTAAAGTTCATAGTTAAATAATTCGAAGGTTATTTTTTATTCATATTAATTTCGGGTAGACTAATGGTAGTGTTATTAATTAATTGTTTATTAATGGTATATATTCGTGCAACAGTATTTTTAAAAAAGGATTGTAATAGCTAATAACTGAAAAATTAGTGTATAAATTTTAATTATTGTTCGTTTAGGTATTGCAGTAAAAGTGCACTGCATGTTGCAGTTGTGAATAATAATGAATTCTTAAATCGAAAAAGACTGACAATCAGTTAATTGCACCTTTAAAATCGTATCATTATAAATCCTTCATTTAGACTTTGTTACGAAATCAGTTTCGTGCAGTAGAAGCGGAAGAATTTGTATGTAGAAGGTCTAGTAAACGTTTGAAATATTAAGCAGGAAAAAAAAGAAACAGCGTCTATGTGGTGCCGTTCTATCCAGTCTTTCCTTTAAAACAATTAAATTCATTTTGAGAAATCTCGCTTGCTTTGTTATAGAATTTGTTTTTATCTTTTGTTCTATAAAAGATAAAAGAGTGGACTACGTGCTCTAGTCTCAATCAGACAAGTAATTTCAAGGCGACCCTTTAAACCCTTTTATAAGTAGTTAAAAAGAAAAAAAAACAACCATTTAATCAACATACATGAACAACTGCGTACGTCTAAGTTCTTTTAATTTTATTCAGCCTATCTTATGTGCTTATGGTTAATTGATATAATTTAACCACACTTATATAATGCAAACAAAACACATGCTTGAAATGATTCAGTTTCATATTAGCACAAGTATCATTTTAAATCGAGTTGTTTCAAATGATTTTGTAATGTAATTTACGACGAGTCTTAATAGCGATTATTGAACTTCCAATTAATTTTATTAACGGTTCAATTTTTTAAATGCATTGCATAAGCAATTTATCCAAGAGAATATTCACCCATTAAGCTCTATTTGTAGGATTCTAAACCGAATAATTACATACGATTCCTTATATGTATGTAATACCGAAATAGCAAAGACAGAAACAACCCTTAAAAAAAATGTTTCAATGTTACAACGGGTTTATTTCAGAAAAAAACATTGAACCAATTTAGATAGGACTTAACAGGCATGAAAAAAAAAGGCTACCAGGAATGATTTAGGCCAAGGGTCGGCAACTGGCGAACCGCGAGTTAAGTCCGGATCGTGGAAGGTCAAAAACTGGACCGCCAAAATTTTTGAAAATAAAATACTCAAATAAATTATTATATTTTTCTGTATACCTATAAAAAAGTATGTTTGAGTTTTGAGCACCACCCTTATCATTTTTTGGAGGAAAAGGTGTTTTTTTTTCTAGACCTCGAAAACTATTTTCAAAAATCATCCGGTCTCCGCCTTAAATTACTTGCCGACCCCTGATCTAGGTTATTCCGTACTGCTCATTACATTATGTTTGTTATAAACAATTACAAACAACTTCACGCAGACGAAGTCAAGGGAATCACCAGTGGGTATATCATAAAAAATTTGTACTTGTTTGTTTCACTATTTGGGATTATAAGTTGAAATTTCAAATTTCTTTTTTTTTTTATTATTGTAATAAAAATAAAACGATTCATATTACGTTTGTAAGAAACTATAAACTCACTGCCAAGAAATTGAACTCCTAGGATTGGTGGTAATTAAATTGATTCTTTTTAATTACCTAATAAGTTATTTATTTATTTTATTGTACAAAAAGAAGAGTACTTAAAGTTGTAAAAATTTTAATAATTTTTTTTCATCAAACATTGGCTTCTTATTTTGCATTGTTAAAAACTTTTTCTTTAGTATTTCTTTTCTAAATTGTACCTACATGAATTTTCATCAAGTAACACCTACAACTATTAATAAATTAATTTGTTTACAAGTACTAATGGCTTAAAAACCAAGAAGAAAATGTTTTTCTGATAGCTAAAGTTTTCAACTTTTCGAGTTCTTTTACTTGTGTCCTTCTAGTTCTTATTAGAAAGCATAGTGCAAAGAAAGTTTATTGCTTTTCATAAAGTTGGGAGATCTTTCTTTTTCATTCAAAAATTTTTGAAGTATTTCCTGACCTTGGATCATAGCTGAAATTATTAGAGGACAGTAGAAAGTTCTCGGTTCACAGAAGAAACTCCGCGCGTGTAAAAACTACTACATTAACGAACGCCTAAAATGACGACACTCCGACGCTCCGCGTCGCCTCGTCACAGCTACCGACGCGACGCTGGCCAGCCAGCAACTGGTTGGAAAACTCGCCAACTCCAACGGGAAAATTAAAAGACGTAGCTCGTGCCGTGCTACTATACGAATTTATATGTATGTAATTTATTTTAACAATATCATGTCATCATTGTGGATTCACTTACCTACTACAAATCGTAACCACTGGCTGTGATAATAATGATAACAGATCGTTGGTATTTACTAGAACGTGGGATAATTTTGAGCCGAACTCATACGTTAAAACCGTTACAGTTAAATCAGGACCGTGTCCTGGAAAATTTTAAACTCGCCCTAGTCGATATTCTGGGCTAATTTCTGAGTTGTATAATCAGGTACTCTAATACAACGTACTAGTAAATAGTAATTTATATTCTCTTAGAAAAATTCCTAAAAATTTTGTTTTTGTTTGTTCAAAAGTGATCTAGAATTAGTTATAATAAGTTGCACTACCCCCAATATAAATTAACAGGATTAAATCTAGCAAATTAAGCAGTGAACAAATCTTCCTTGAAAAAAATTTAACTTTAAATCGAAACTTATTACGTAAAGGAATAAATAAACAAAAGTTTGCTCCTTAGTTTGTTAGATGTAATCCTGTAAAATAGGTTGCCCTTGATGATGGTAAATTAGAAGTTGTAGTTTATTAGGTGAGTTTCTCTTTTAAGTAATACCTTCTATAAACTAAAGAATTAAAAGAATGTAGGTATAAATGTGTAGAAAAATTCAATGATCTTTTTGGAGATTGTTCTAGATACGGTCCTGAGTTAAATTAATAATAACACAACCGGAAATAAGTGTTCAGCTAGGTAGAAGAAGAATGATTCATATTAACGCATGAAAAAATTTAGTAATTGTTATGTTTCCTCTGCTTGAAGAAAGCAATGATCGCATAAATATTAGTACCGGTCGTTCCCATTTAATCTTTAGATGCCGGTTTATTTTTGCTAATCGATAGTAAATCAATAAAATAATCCATAAGACGGGCTAAGCCTGCCGTGGAACATTTTGAGTCTGCCCTGTATAGCCGTTAGTCTGTGCTAGTTTCTACGCGTGATTTCTGAGTTGTACTTCCTTCGGGTTAACATTTTTCCCGAATGATATCTGAGAAAGAGACAAAAAACAATGAAAAATACAAAATAATTACTTAATAAAAACCTATAACCAGTGATAGAAATGTATGCAGATTTAGTAATTTAATGTAAAAAAAATGTGTAAGGGTTTTCAACCACATTTACAAGATATCTTTAAAAATATTATTAATAACTAATTATTTCTACCTACTTAATATATTGTTTATTCGAGAATACTATTGACTTTCAAGTAAAAATGGTATTTCTGTTAGACCAATTGTGTTTTCTCGTTTTATTTTTGGTGAATAATTACAGTTGTAATATTTGCTGTATGTTCAGTTGTCTACACATATATTATATTACAAATTGTAGTAAAATTGTTAAAAAAAGACATAAATTGCATTGTATCTGCGCCCACATGAGAAAAATATAATCTAAAGATGAAAATCTATCAACCTACTCCAATGAAACTGGAATGGTAGCCTAATTATAACTATTTTCTTAGTTGTCCCGGCGCCTCCGCCAAAATTTTCAACAAAATTTAAATAAGTTAGTGTTGTTAATGTTTGTGTGTCATTGTGAATATGTTATTTTCGACATTGAAAACGATGGTTAACAATAAAAATTAACTAATTACTCGTAATTAGGAACCAAATGCGTCTTCAGCAGCTCCAAATAAAAATGTGCAAGGGTTTTCAACAAAATCTGGAAGAATATGTTTTTAAAAATATTACTATATATGTAATTTCTACATAATATTTTGTGGTTTGTTCGAGAATAGTGTTGTTTCATATAAAAAAGTTATTTGCATGAGAAAAATCGT